AACTCTATGACCGGGCGAAAATGCATGAGGAATGGTGTCTCGTTTTTCAAATATAATTTTGAGCCGTAGTGTATGCCGGTCCATCAACTTGAAATCTTCTTTTTCTAGGTTTATCACTGTGCGATGAATTTATTTTGTTGTAATATATCATTCACGATTTCTACGGGAAAATTAGTTAAATGAAAAAGAACATTTAACAGATGGGCAAAAGCTCCGGGCGGAATAAAGAGCGTTGCACTTGTTATTTATACTACTTTTTACTGTAACACTGTAACACAAATTGTACGAAACAGCTTTTAACACAATTGTATGTTTTATGATGGGGGGGGGGGGGTACTCTCCTTAACAAAGTACTTATTCGGAAATTCTTATCAAAGACATTTTGAAATTGATGTGGTTTTTATTTTTTCCCGCCAAATGTGTAAAATTTCACTGTTTATATTAACTTAAACTATATTGAAATCATTGTCAGTTTGCATACAAAGAGAATATTCAGATATAACAAGAGATTATAGTTTAAGAGAAATTCCGTTTTGTGGGTGTTGAGAGATAGCCTTGTCAATAGAAGACATTGTTTACAAAATAAAAAAAGAGCTTAAAGTTTAAAGAGAAATTCCGTTTTGTGGGTGTTGGGAGAAAGCCTTGTCAATAGACGTTATTGTTTACAAAATTAAAAAAAAAATTTTTAAGAGAGGGGAGGCCAGTATATTGAATACTTGATAAATAAAAGATTTTTACATGGGTTTAAATTAAACACAATTTTAACTTTATCAGCTATATTTTGTACATAAAATACTTACAAACTCATTCAATAACTAGATTCTTACTGGTTTAAAAGTCCTTGTGGTATTTTTTAAATATTAAGGCATTAATTTTATTAATTGCAGTTATTTATCTTTTTTCGATACGGGAAAATTTATAGAAAAATGTTGAAAAAGTGAACATCTGTGCTAATTAATACCCTATAGGGAAAAAAAGTATGAAATTAGATTAATCAAAATCCATAATTCATTTAATTGTGTCTATCTATCTTAATTTTGTGATCATGTTTGCGTGTCTGTTTATATTGCAGATATATTAAATGGTAAGCACATTGCATCCTGTCTGTCTATCTGTCTGTATCAGACAGGAGGAGAATCACCGGGACTCAGCTCGAAAAATAAGGTCACAGTGGTCTACTTTTGAATTTGATTTGTATTCTTTGTGATATTGCTTTCAAGAACTGAGTTCATTAATCAAAAACGCGCTATTAATATTATCAAGTTTTTTTTTATAATTTATGCAAAATGGGGCCCAAGACATCTTGAACCAAAGTAGGTCACAATGAGCTATCAAATATCTAAAAATTAGCTGCTATTCATTTTTAGAATGCTTCAAGTGCATATTTTGGGCATTGTGAAGCATAGGTCTTTGACATATTGTCAATCGATATGCATGTAGTTTGAACCATGAAAACCTTTTACCAAAATATATGTTTTCATGTTAAATTGATATTAATACTGTACTACATAATATAGAAAAAAATATGCATGCCTCAAAGAATACAATGGGTTTCTTACAGTTTGAATTCTACTGAACAGCAAGGGCTATTTGTTGAACTAAAGCTGCAGGATTCATTTGACCTTCAGAGGAAGTAGTTCTTTAAATCCAAAAATTGCTTAAACTGCAGAAGAAGCAATCCTATAAAATCCAACGGTTTCGACAGCAGAATAAGAGATCCTATGAAATGGAGCAATCCTATTAACTACAGCATAAGGCATGCAACATATTTATTGAAGCATGCAAGTAAATTATGTTAATATGCAAATACATTATGTTAACAGGAAATTATGCATCCTTAAGAATAGTTTTTGGCCGCAGTGCGGCATTACATTTCTACAATAGAATTTATCTTGAAAAATCTTCATCTCAAGAAATATGGAATCAAAATTTTACATTAAATATTTCGTAAAAAACTTTTAAAATCTTCTCAAAAGCCACTACACCAGAAAAATTGAAAGGCGAATTCATCCAGGGGTAGTGTACATTATTTTCTTATTCAAATCAAGACCCTTAGTGGTAATGTTTATAATGTGGAAAAATCTGGTGAAGAACAGCAGGGCCAAAGTGACTCAGCTAAACGTTGTGGTCCTTGGGCCACTTGTTTTCTTTACTTGTGTCCCTGATGCATAATTTGCTCAGTTCCTTGTTTTACTAATTATCAGTGGTCTGAAGAGTTGTATATTAATTGTTCTACAAATACCCAGAATAAAGTGTTTGCTCAATAATTCTCCAACATATGTTGCCCTGATGTGATGACAGACAATGCATTTTAGCTTTAGTTAACAAAGTTAATTGCCCAGATTATGGGTGAATGTCCAAAAGTTCCTTCACAACGTGAGTGATAGAGTAATTGTTCAAAATTCTCCCAACAATTCCCATAAACATGATTTTCAATATATACGTACATAGTAAAAAAATTGGCAAAATATCAGGCCTAGGGGTATCAGTTGTATTGTTATCATCATACATTTCTATCTGTTGTGTTTTCATTGTGACATCATCCAAAGTCTTCCACAGAACAATTATAAATTACTATGTAGTAAAACCTTTCCACTCGTAATGTTTAAGTTGTTTTTCCCAATTAAAGTAAAAAAAAAATCAAAATAATTTTTTAAAATAATTTTATTGCATTTTTTTTTATTTCAACATTTGTAAACATAATCACAAAAAAAAAAAAATAATAAATATTAATAAAAAGAATTTTCATGACACATGTACAAGTATACATGCATAACGTAACAAGTAATTTTAACACCCTATAAAACTATAACAATAAAAATAAAAAATAAAATTACAATAATAAAATACATATAATTCTAATCTGAACATTTTTCATTAAATACTATAATAATACATATGTTAAAATAAAGGACATCACTGGAGATCTGAACTCAGTTCCGTAAACTCTATCACAATAGAAATATATACAAATAATTTTGACAACAAAGGAACACACACATATATAAAACATAATATGTATAATGATTAATATTAATTGATAAGACCAGACTTACTTCAAAATATTGTTTATTTGCCCTCTCTCTACCCTGCATAAAAAGTTTGCTAACTGTAAAGATGGAGAAAAAATTCCACATAAAATATTAACATCAATGCAGATCTTTCTTATTTTCTCAGAATCTATTATCAGGGATGGATATAAAATTGTTTCCAGGAGGTTAAAAATGCTTTGAGTAAGACCATTTTTAGCCAGTCGCTAAAAGTTGGTATAAAGGTGGGACAAAAAAATATCCACATAAAATTTCAAAATCAATGCTGATCTTTCTTAATTTCTTAGAATCTGTTGTCAGGGATGCATTAAAAAAATGTTTCCAGGAGGTTACAAATTTTTTTGAGTCGGGCCATTTTTAGTCAGTGGGGAGAGGGCAACCGAGCAATTTTTTGAACATGGCCCTAAAAAAACAGCACAACAAATAACAGGAGGTAGTAGTCCACAAGGCTCACCTTAATATCTTCATCAGTCTCACACAAAAAGAATCTTGTACAGTTATTAATTAGTGTCCAAATCATGGCCATCATACAATAGAGAATTCTTCTGCTAAAAATCATTAACTTTACTCATTCTAAACTTCATCATAAAACGCATTGCTTCAGAGTAAAAAAAAAACAAATTGTATCATATTTTTGGATCTCTAATAAGGATAAAGTACCTTGTTGACTAAACAATGTCTTTGTCAGTTTGAGTTGTCTGCCAAGGCAATAACCTAGAAAAAAATTCCTGAAATTTGAAATGCCAACAACAGATTTAAAAAAAGACTGCCTTTGGCCTCCTGATCAAATGCTTTTTCTGTTTTTATTCTATTCTTGCTAGAGAACTTGATTATTTGACATCTGGTGATGCCCTTTGACAAATGTAAATGTTATTTCTGTGCAGAGTACAAATTTCAACTGTTTGTCTACTGCAAAGTTAAGGATAAAACAAAAATTTTACAGTTCTGAAATAATACCAGTGACCTTGATCTTGCACAAACAACCTTGCAGTTAAATACTGGTCATTACAGGAGACATTGAACTATATAATATATGATCTTGAATGTAGCCTTTTTGTATTAAGTATTTTTAACTGGTTGTCAACAGCAAAGTTATGTTTGTATTTCGTATATTGTATTGGTGATAAGAAAATACACATTTTCTTTTTTTCATCTTGTGCTTCTAGCACCTGATAGTTCCCTTTCAAAATTACTGGAATTTTAGCCGATAAAACGGATATCTTTTGGCCTTTTGGCATCTTTTAGAATTATAATTATGCTATAGCACAAACCAAAATTTCTAAATTCAATTTAGCTTAACTCCTTCCTGGTCATTTTCTTTATTAAATTTTTGATTTTTGTTCACATATACGCACACATAAATATATATTTATATGTTGATATTCAAAAATGTATGTACTTATCTGTTTGCTAATAATTATGTTTAATGCCAAGGTTATTATTCCTGTATGCTTTTAACTTTGTACAGTACTATTGCTAATTTTTTAAAACCTTATCTAAAATTTAATTTTAATCGGTATAAGCGGCAATTTTATACGATTTTTCAAGCTAAATAAAAACAATATAGCAAAACTAGATTATTTAACCCCCCCCCCCTTCCTTGTATCATTTTAAAGCTAATTTTATACACTTACACACCTTCCAAATATGTATTTGACCCCCCTTCTCATTTTAATTTATATTTAAATTATGTTCAGAAGTTATTGAACAAAATCACCCCCCCCCCCTTTTTTTGTTCCTATTTGCAATTTTCCTCACCTCATCTTCATTTTCTCTTTATATTATTTTAACATTTAACTACACGTATGGTCGGCCACCAAAAATGATTGTAGCAACACGGTGGTTTATTTATTTATTCATCATTTATTTATTTTTAGAAAATAATTAGTAGATGTACAACGTATGTCTACACAATCATACGGAGGCCTGTTCTCCTTATGAGAGCAGAGAATTGAGGCTGGAAGCACTAGGTGAAAAAAAGGAAATGTGTGTTTTCTTATCACCAATACAATATACTAAATACGAACTTAATTATATGATTTTGAATGTAGCCTTCTGTGTTAAGTATTTTTAACTGGTTGTCAACAGCAAAGTTATGGATAAGACAAAAATACTCAGTTTTCCTACAAATGATCTTGATCTTGCAGAAATGATCTAGATTTATGATCACATAGTGTCACGTAATAAAGTGTCTTTGGTCTATAATTAGGTCAAAATGAATCTTTGACATATCAGCAGGTCGAAAATAGTCTTTGATCTATGACCAAGACAAAAAAAATCTTTAATAACATGAGTAGGACAAAATTAATCTTTGAAAACATAAGCAGGAAAATAGGATTCTTTGATATCTAAGCCGATCAAATGGAATCATTGATATATGAGCAATATTTTTAATGAAATTTAAGACGTATAATTGAGATTGAGCGTATCTAGCACTGCTCACTTTAGTACAACAAAATATATTTCTTATATTTTTTTTTCTTACATGTTAGTGATTCTAAATTAGTTTGCCTTTTATTATATTTACTTTTCCTTATGTTACCTCTACCAGATTGTTGACTATGTTCACTTTTTTAATGTTTGAATTATGAATGTCGATGAGAGATTTATTTGCAAGTCAGAATGAATGTGAGCAGATAAATTATAAACCTGAGCACTTTGGTGTAAAGAAAAGCAAAAATTCGTTAAAGGTCAAAAAGTTTAAAAGAAATACATAAAAAGTCCTCCTTTAGGAACAATTGAGCTAAAATGTCTTGTCTAAAATGTTAAATGATTTGTGATTCTTTGGTTTTACAATTTTGATTTAATCAGCTGTTATTTTGTTGAAATATAATGACTTCAAATAAAAACGTAGGACCAGTGTCTGTTTATTGAAGGGCTCATTTAAAGAAATAAAAATCTTTTCTATATCCTATCTAAAAAAAGCATTCTTTATTCAAATTATTTGCTGCATGCAAATACCAAAAGGACAAGATCCAAAATCTGAAGAACTTGTAGTTTTGCTTAATGCATTTGTACTGTTAATCACAATATCTTCACAAGAATTTCATTTTCATATGATTACATGAGATTCCTAGCAATTTTTTTTTCTTGCCTTTATCAAAGGTAATATGCAACAATAATAAAAAAAAATGGACTTAAAAATTACCTTTCGCTTATAAATAAAAAAAGTAGATAATAAAAAACATGAAAATTAGCCGTGGCTTTAAATTGGCAATATACATTAAATTACACATCTCACACTAAAGAAATAAGAGTCCAATCATGAACATGATCACCTGTACTTTGTTGAACAATCCAGTCTTCGTCTCCAAGAAAAAAAAAACAAATAGAGACATGTCCAAAATTGCACTGATGTCCAATATTGCACTGATGTTCAATACTGCACTGATATCCAATATTGCACTGATCCCAAATATCGCACTAACACTAACATCCAATATTCTACTTTATGAACTTGGTTTTTCCTCTGTCCCAACATTGCCCTCATTGATCATTGAAAAGTACCTTTAATAATTGTGAAATTATTTGATTAGTTTTTCATCCATATCATTTTTTATCAAGTTGTATCTAATATTTACAGGTATAAAATATTGTTTTTCAAATTGCGTTTGTGTGTTTTTAAAATTCTGGCAATACTTTTTAAACCTGTAACATTGAACATAATTATCCAATATTCCAATGAACTTAAGTCACAGGCAGCTGTGTCTAAGTATAGACTTTTAATGTTTCTCTTTTCAAAGCTAGAACAATAATCTAAGATTTATCCTCAGATTTTCAACTGTAAGTCTAACAACCTGGGGACAGGGTCAAAACACAGCTAGTAAAAAGGTACCTTTTTGATGACTCGAATGTTCCATGCTAATTTTCAGGCAATTTTTTTAAATACACAGTTGACTCTTGACTTCTTATTGATAATACGTTAGCAATATATGTTAGGCCACTTTTTTTATTAGTTGTTTTTCAAGATCGCCGACTTAAAATTTGAGAAATTGAAAAAAAAATAAAATTTTTATTAGGCTTTTTTTTAACAATTGAAATTGTCGCCAAAAAATACGAAGCTAAACTTTGGGGAAAAATTTGTCACATGCTGCAAAAATGGTGACGACCATGGAAAGGAGCATGTCATCAATACAGTGTTTCCAAAAACCATTTGTCCTACAGGCAAAACTGATAGAAAATCGAAATGTCTGAGATCAAATTACACATACATCTTGTACCTCCCGGTACCGTCCATATGACCGACTGGGTTGAAGACTTGTCCTGATTAATTAATTGTCCTCTGATCTAATGTTATGTCTTCAATAAATGAAAATTTTTAATGCAGTATGCTTCTATTCTTCGTAAATATCCACAATCTTATCTATTTTGCAATTCTGCTTGACTTGTTTACTTCCAAAAATGATCGTTTTTTCTCTATTCCGAATTTCCTCCATTCCTCTGTTAATGGTAAATACATGCAGTATATAGGTCATGAAGTGCAATTCCCACTGAGAAAACATGATAATGATTTAAATCTATTAATTTTATTTTGAATTTCTATCAAAACTGCTATTTAAATATGATTCAATTTTACAAGTGAGAATTAAACTTTTGAAATTTATTTAATTGCCATATTTATATAAATAATGGTAGTTGCAATCAACTAAATTTTTTTCATCAAAAATTAAATTAATTGAATAACGTAAATATTTTTCACATTAACAGGGAACCATTCCAAGTTAAATTAGATCAGGATTATAACGATAAATCACAACATCAAATCAAAAATTAAAATTATTAAACTATATTTAACTAAGGAGAACATACATCTTTTGTTTAAAATATAATGATGTTAAACTAAAGTAGAATGACATACAAAAGGCAGTTTAATTTGCATGTAGAAGTTTTTGAAATATTTAATACTAGTGTACTCTAAAGTACTTTATCGTAATCTGTTTAGTACGACAATTTTTCAACTGTCTTTTTTTTTTTTTTTTACGACCGACCGACCTTATTTTAAAAAAAAAAAGTCTTGAAAAACAACTAATAAAAAAAAAATGGCCTTAGCAATATATAAGTTGATAGGGGATGCTTACTCCTCAAAGTCACCTGATCCCACCTCTGTTTTTTCAAGAGGTCCGCTTTGTGCCCTGTCCATGATTTTATTTTCTTTCCTGAATTTATGAAATTTATCTTTATTTAAGGATATACGATCATCAGCCAGGAAGGATAACTCTTTAATTTATTATTTAATTCAAAAAGTCTTCAAATGAAGCTTGAAATTGAAATTTTTTCATGCAACAATTTTCATTTTATGCCTCTACATATGATTCAATGTTCTTTGAAGTTTTAACAAACGGTATTTAAAAAGTTGACATTTGTACCTAATAAAATTAGGTAAAATTGCATATTTTAAAAAAATCGGATTTCTTTTAATTTAGCCTTAGTTACCAATGTTTATAAGCATGATTTGAAATTAGAAGTGATTTACGGTGTTTTCTTTAAAAGGAAACACTTCATACACTATGCATTATGAAACGATGGAAGTAAGTAGGAGAAAGTAAAGTACCAAATAAGTGTAAAATTCTAATGCCTGGATACCTATAATTTTTTTTCCCTAAAATGTATTACTTGATCAATTATCAATTTAAAAATATGCAGTAGGTAGTTTAAATCGCATTTCCTGAAAAATTATTTGAGATTTCTAATTTTCCCAATATAATATGATTAAATTTAAAGATGGAGTTAAAAGAATCACTGTGGGTAAAACAATTTAATTTGAGAATTTAGAGACATCTTTGTGAGCATTTTCAATGACTCAATGCCTGATTTTCAGAACCTGAGGATCGGATAACCTTAATATCTTCACCTTTTACATTTGAAACTTAGATCTGCAAGTCAAGAATTTGACTCTTTTTGTGAACATAGTAAGTCATGTTAAATGAAATATTTCGAGCCAAATATAACTTTTTTTTCCTTTAAGTTTTTAAAACATAATATAACTTAAAGATACCCAGTTTCTCAAGTGATATATAAATGTTTATTTTACAAAAATACAAAGAAATCCCTCATTAAAAAATTCAAGAGAAAATTACCATCGAGCCCCTGAAGAAAAAAGTTATTTACAAAAAGAGGGTCAAAACTACAGGTGATTCCAGTATAAATCTCCTCCTCTACACCCTGTCTCTATCCTTATCCTACCTGTTCCCCTATTACATTTGGGTTGGTGTAGTATGGTGGATCTATTTCCTGTCCAGTCACCTGCATGGCACTGTCACTTTGGTTAGAGCATCTGCCCTAGAGTCGCGAGGTAAGGAGTCAATCCTTACTTTGCAGGTTTGAATCCCACTGTTGGACCTGGAGACCAGTCCTTCGGATGAGACAGGATAAACTGAGTCCCTGTGTCGCAGTAGGTGCTGGCACGAAAAAGATCCCTCCCTGCTCAATGGCTTTGAGTCCCGAGTTTGGGACAAAATTTGCCTCTCTAAAACAGCCAGCGGTGGCGTCTCCATATGAGTGCAAAATTCTCGAGAGGGACATTCAAGAATGTATCATTATCAATATTACCTGTCCATTTTTTGGTCGAGCCACTCTTTATGTTTAAGATTCTCCGTCCATGTCTGAGGAATGGCCTCGAGTCCCAGCTTACACCCCAGAAGAGCTCCAGCAACAGAGGCATTGGTATCAGCATCTCCTCCCTAAAAAAGACAACACAACAGAGGTCCAGCAACAGAGCGACATTGGTATCCGCAACTCCTTCCTTTAAATAACAACACATCAATCCTTACACCCAAGGAGAGCTACCGCTACAGAAGCATTGGTATCCGCATCTTCCCCCTATAAATAACAACACATAAATCCTAATACCCCAATAGAGCTCCAGCTACAGAGGCATTGGTGTCCGCATCTCCTCCCTATAAATAACAACAAAACAGAGGCATTGGTGTCCGCATCTCCTCCCTATAAATAACAACAAAACAGAGGCATTGGTGTCCGCATCTCCTCCCTATAAATAACAACAAAACAGAGGCATTGGTGTCCGCATCTCCTCCCTATAAATAACAACAAAACAGAGGCATTGGTGTCCGCATCTCCTCCCTATAAATAACAACAAAACAGAGGCATTGGTGTCCGCATCTCCTCCCTATAAATAACAACAAAACAGAGGCATTGGTGTCCGCATCTCCTCCCTATTAAAGACAACACAACAGAGGCATTGGTGTCCGCATCTCCTCAATATAAAAAACAACACATCAATCCTTATACCACAATAGAGCTCCAGCTACAGAGGCATTGGTGTCAGCATCTCCTCCCTATAAATAACAACACAACAGAGGCATTGGTGTCCGCATCTCCTCCCTATAAATAACAACACAACAGAGGCATTGGAGGCTGCATCTCCTCCCTAGAAATAACAACACATCAATCCTAATAACCCGATAGAGCTCCAGATAGAGAGGCATTGGTGTCCGCATCTCCTCCCTATATATAACAACTCATGAATCCTAATACCCCTATATATCTTAAGATAGAGAGGCATTGGTGTCCGCATCTCCTCCCTATAAATAACAACACAACAGAGGCATTGGAGGCTGCATCTCCTCCCTAGAAATAACAACACATCAATCCTAATAACCCGATAGAGCTCCAGATAGAGAGGCATTGGTGTCCGCATCTCCTCCCTATAAATAACAACACATCAATCCTAATAACCCAATAGAGCTCCAGATAGAGAGGCATTGGTGTCCGCATCTCCTCCCTATAAATAACAACACATCAATCCTAATAACCCAATAGAGCTCCAGATAGAGAGGCATTGGTGTCCGCATCTCCTCCCTATAAATAACAACACATCAATCCTAATAACCCAATAGAGCTCCAGATAGAGAGGCATTGGTGTCCGCATCTCCTCCCTAAAAATAACAACACATCAATCCTAATACCCCAATAGAGCTTCAGATAGAGAGGCATTGGTGTCCGCATCTCCTCCCTATAAATAACAACACATCAATCCTAATACCTCAATAGAGCTCCAGCTACAGAGGCAATGGTATCTGCATCTCCCCCTATAAATAACAACACATAAATCCTTACACCACAACAGAGCTCCCGCTACAGAGGCTCCTCCCTAAATAAGACAACACATCAGTCCTCCGAGCTATTGTCCGTCTCCAGTTACCTGGCCTGGAGACCATAACCTGAGGCCATAAATTGAGAATAGACTAATGTCCAAATTTTGATTTTGAATAGCTTGTCATTTTTTAAAATACATATATCATCCAAAATTTGCAGGATTATATAATATTCAAATTAGAACACATATTAAAATGTTTGCTTGTTATCAAAATCATTTCAAAAGTTATAATTTTATTTTAAGTTTTGACTTAAGTCTGTTCTCAGTTTTTTGTCTTTGTGCAAGATGTGGAGTTTCAATTTTAATTTCAGATTTCAGAAGAATGCACAATCTCTGGATGCTTTGATTCCTCAAGATTTTTAATTTTATTATTTCCTTTATTTAATTCTTTTCTTAAGGACAGATGAGACGTTCCTTAATAACAGATAAAATTTTCTAATGGTTTGTCATTGAAGTATTGCTACTTAAACATGTTTACGCACAAAAAATTGAGGTACCTTACCAGGCATTTCTGCAAGATACGATATGTTTAAGTGTCTGGATTTTTAAAAGACAATTAGAAACTGGTTCCGAAAGCAGAATGAAATTAAAATTTTGAATATTTTTCATATGTTACAAAGATATACAAAACAGATATTGAGGAACGTCTCGTCTGACTTTAAGCTTCATGAACCCTCTGCATCATATAAACTGTTACTTGAACCGTATGATTTTCCTAAAGAAATGTATTTTATGAGTAAAATACAAACAATTATAGCATAGATTGCGGGGCAAAATTGGGCAACAAAGACGCTTTAACTCGCTTTAACTAAAGGAATAATAGACATTTATATCATTAAGGAGTTACCTCTCTTATCAGAATAACAATGAACCTTAAGCTAAGATGATCAATCTCCAGGTAAATTAGCTTAGATTTGACTCACCTGCATGACAATCTTTGTGATGGCTTTGACTCACCTGCATGACAATCTTTGTGATGGCTTTGTCTCACCTGCATGACAATCTTTGTGATGGCTTTGACTCACCTGCATGACAATCTTTGTGATGGCTTTGTCTCACCTGCATGACAATCTTTGTGATGGCTTTGACTCACCTGCATGACAATCTTTGTGATGGCTTTGTCTCACCTGCATGACAATCTTTGTAATGGCTCTGTCTCACCTGCATGACAATCTTTGTGATGGCTTTGTCTCACCTGCATGACAATCTTTGTAATGGCTTTGTCTCACCTGCATGACAATCTTTGTAATGGCTTTGTCTCACCTGCATGACAATCTTTGTGATGGCTTTGTCTCACCTGCATGACAATCTTTGTAATGGCTTTGTCTCACCTGCATGACTATCTTTGTGATGGCTTTGACTCACCTGCATGACAATCTTTGTAATTGCTTTGTCTCACCTGCATGACAATCTTTGTAATTGCTTTGTCTCACCTGCATGACAATCTTTGTGATGGCTTTGTCTCACCCGCATGACAATCTTTGCGATGGCTTTGACTCACCTGCATGACAATCTTTGTAATTGCTTTGTCTCACCTGCATGACAATCTTTGTAATTGGTTTGACTCACCTGCATGACAATCTTTGTGATGGCTTTGTCTCACCTGCATGACAATCTTTGCGATGGCTTTGACTCACCTGCATGACAATCTTTGTAATTGCTTTGTCTCACCTGCATGACAATCTTTGTAATTGCTTTGACTCACCTGCATGACAATCTTTGTAATGGCTTTGTCTCACCTGCATGACAATCTTTGTGATGGCTTTGACTCACCTGCATGACAATCTTTGTAATTGCTTTGACTCACCTGCATGACAATCTTTGTGATGGCTTTGACTCACCTGCATGACAATCTTTGTAATTGCTTTGACTCACCTGCATGACAATCTTTGTAATGGCTTTGACTCACCTGCATGACAATCTTTGTGATGGCTTTGACTCACCTGCATGACAATCTTTGTAATTGCTTTGTCTCACCTGCATGACAATCTTTGTAATTGCTTTGTCTCACCTGCATGACAATCTTTGTAATTGCTTTGACTCACCTGCATGACAATCTTTGTGATGGCTTTGACTCACCTGCATGACAATCTTTGTGATGGCTTTGACTCACCTGCATGACAATATTTGTAATTGCTTTGTCTCACCTGCATGACAATCTTTGTAATAGCTTTGTCTCACCTGCATGACAATCTTTGTGATGGCTTTGTCTCACCTGCATGACAATCTTTGTAATGGCTTTGTCTCACCTGCATGACAATCTTTGTGATGGCTTTGTCTCACCTGCATGACAATCTTTGTGATGGCTTTGACTCACCTGCATTACAATCTTTGTGATGGCTTTGTCTCACCTGCATGACAGTCTTTGTGATGGCTTTGACTCACCTGCATGACAATCTTTGTGATGGCTTTGACTCACCTGCATGACAATCTTTGTAATGGCTTTGTCTCACCTGCATGACAATCTTTGTGATGGCTTTGTCTCACCTGCATGACAATCTTTGTGATGGCTTTGACTCACCTGCATGACAATCTTTGTGATGGCTTTGACTCACCTGCATGGCAATCTTTGTAATGGCTTTGTCTCACCTGCATGACAATCTTTGTGATGGCTTTGCGGAAATCATTCTGCTTGAGTGCCCAGAATCCAGAGCCCATGGTCTTGAACGTGTAACCAATCTCTGGTCCTGATAGTTTTAGTTGTTTTATATCTGAACACTTCATGTAGGTCAGTAGCTCATGTTTCTACCAAGAAAAAAAACAAGATGTGTTTGTGAAATATAAATGCCCCCATATCAGTAATTATGTTCCCCAAACGAAGTTGGGGAACATATTGTTTTTACTCTGTTTCTTATTAAGGTCTTCCGTTTCCAACGGAAGACCTTATTGTTTTCGTTCGGTTTCTTTTTCCCTATTATTATTATTATTATTATTTTTTTTCTTACCGATTTTTGTGCACGCCAGTTCTATGAAACGGCTCGGTCGATTTTCACGAAACTTTCAGATCTGATAGATATTGGTCTGAACCTTATTGGAAATTTTTTATAAGTACGTCGTCACTTCCGGTCGTGAGATATGGACGATTTACTGATTTTAAGAGGGTCAGCTTGTCCGGGCAATCACTAAAAAACGAATGAAGATATTGACTTGAAATTTTCAGTGAAGATAGAGGAAGGATTGCTAAATTGCTTTTTTGAGTCTATATCTTTTCAGCGCAAAAGGCGTTGAAGCTAGCTTGAGCTCGTTATAATTATTATTTTTCTGACCATCACATTTTGTGCGCGTGATTTCTCGAAGACTACTGGATTGATTTTTATGAAATTTGCTGGAACAATGTGTTGCTATCTGCAGTTATTATATCCTGGAGATTTTTTGGAAATTCCTCTCTGGTGCCAAGTTACGGACAATTTTCTGATTTTAAATTGACATCTTGTTCGCGGATAATCTAAAGAACGGTAAAAGATATCACTGTGAAACTTTCAGGGATTATAGATCGTGATAAGTACTATCCAAGACGCGATCTTTTGTACTTCGTCTCTACTTCCTGTCGTAACGGCATGCAAAGAAAAAAAGTCAAATTTTTGAACTTTTTTGATTTTCAATATTTTCAAATCATATTTGTATGGTTGATAGAAACATTTCTCATTAGGCTGAATATATAATTTGTTTGTAAATTGATGAATTCGAACCCGAGATATTAACATTCAAAAGTCTGAAGCGGGATCTTAATGGCGGCGGTCTCTGTCAATTCCGACATTTCGCAATAGGGGTTTATAGAGGCAGCCGAGCGTTTGCTTGAACGAAAGTAACATAAGGAGCAATGAAATGTGTAGGGATACTTGGTTTGTCACGTCGTAGGTTCGTTGCAATTCGGTGTCAAACTACATTTATTATCCAAGGTCTACTTACAAGTCTTCTTTAATTGGTTTTGGTTGTTTCTCAAAGTAGAAATAGAAAAGAATTAATGTGCAAATGAAGTACAATATCTATATCTTTTGTTTTGCATCACGGTAACACATAGCTTAAATCATAGTTATAATAAATAGTTTTTCAAGAATGTAGGAAGTAAAAACGTGACTACTGTTTTCTAATGCACACTTGTGTCATATTAAATCAATAGGAAGGACAACTGTTACAATAAGAACATATTTTATTTTTAAAGATAACAATTTTTCAAAGACTGTTTAATTGACCTATATAAACATTTTATTTTCTTAATGCAAATTATTGAACATAATGGAATCTTATTTCTTGACCCTCGTAAGGGGATCGAGGAATTTTTTCGGTGAAAATTACCACCTTTTTCATGAAAGTGTAAGTAATCGGAATAGTCAACTTTCGTGATTGAAAATTGAAAAATTAACCATTCATAGCTGTTTCACTGCTTTAGTGTTATTTGCCTATATACGATTGATTGATTGATTGTATACTGTTTAACGTCCCTCTCCAGAATATTTCACTGATATGGAGACGGCACCATTGGCGGTGAAGGGCTGCAAATTTAGGCCTATGCTCGGCACTCAGGGCCATTGAGCAGGGAGGGATCTTTATCCTGCCACACCTGCTGTGATACGGGGCCTCGGTCTATACCGTCTCATCCGAAGGACCATGAACATTCCAAGAGAAATTCGCTAAGATTTACTCGTTGCGTTTGGTGCGAAATTATGAATAGTGACCCTTCTTTCATAATTCCAAGACAGATTAACTGTTGCAGAATTATATGTACATACAAGTGAAGTAAGAGTAGTTGTTCAAATAGCGTAATCGATAAGCGTTTTGAATTTACACGCTAGTGACCCGTTTCAATTACCAGTGTGTCCAAAATATGTTTAATCCATTTTCAGCTCGATTTTATGGGTTATTTTTCGGAATCAGACGGAAGACCTACTCGTTGCTTGCAACGAGATCGTTTCTAGTTATTATTATTATTATTTTTCTTCTTCCTGGGAAAATTTTGTCCACGAATGATCTTGCAAACTACACATCCGAGTAAGGCGAAATGTTTTTAGGGTCAGTAGACATGTTATGTAGATTTGCCGAACGAAGGTCATTTTGCGCGCACGTGCTTGCAAGAGCGCGCACGTGCAACATGAAAAATGACCAATATAATTGATAAAGATGTAACTTTTTCAATTTTGGATGAAATGCATTGAAACTCATAATATAAGGACAAATTAGTAGGAAAGACAAGATGCCATGGTCAAAATAGCAAGAACCAACGCGCATGCACGTGCACTTCACTCTGATTGGCTGAAACTAAAGTCTCAATATCTTTCTTGTTTATTGATAAAATCCTTTGAAATTTTGAACATAGTCATATATTTGGGATATCTACAGCATGATATATAAGATGTTATAATGAAAGCATGGGCATGCACGTGTGCTTTGAAGAGCGCGCACGTGCAACACGAGAAATGTCCAATATAATTGATATATAGACGTAACTTTTTCAATTTTTTATGAAATGCTTTGAAACTCATAATATAAGGATAAATTTGAAGCATAGACAAGATGACATGGTCAAAATAGCAAGATCTCACGCGCATGCACGTGCGCTTCGCTCTGATTGGCTGAAACTAAAGTCTCAATATCTTTCTTGCTTTTTAACAAAATCCTCTGAAATTTTGAACATAGCCATGCATTGGGATATCCTACAACGTGATATCTAGCAATTGTCTTGAAAACACGTGCATGCACGTGCGCTGCAATCTGATTGGCTTAAACTTTAAATAGCTATAACTCCCTTGATTTTCAACCAAACAGGATGGGATTTTGAACATAGATAGATATAATAGATTTCTACAAGAAGGTATAGTCAATATGCACATTCATACACGTGCGTGTACGTGCGCTGCAATCTGATTGGCTTAAACTTTAAACAGCTATAACTCCCTTGGTTTTCAACCAAACGGGATAGGATTTAGAACATACATTGATGTAATGGACTTCTACAAGAAGGTATGGTCACCATGCTCATGTATGCACCTGCGTGCACGTGAAATGAGTAAAATCAAAAATAAAATTGAATGAGCGTATTTTTTAATACTTTTGGATTAAATATCTTAATATTTTGTATATTACAATATATAGATTGTGTAGACAAGATGATATGGTCATTACGCACATGCATTCACATCTGCACGCGTGCAATGCTAAAATTTGAATGAATTTGGAACACTTCTTTGTAAACGTTAAAGTCTCAAATGCATAGAGTTTATTTTATTAATGGAGCTTACAGGGAATATGGCACCAAAAGGGAGTTGGGGGCGTTTGGGGAACATCTGTAACGGTCCCCGTTACAATTAGCACTAGTTTAGGTTACATTTTTTTTCTAATCCAAGTTAAACTCTAAAGCAAGACCAAAGGGTAAAAAAAATGGTGGTAACCACTAATAAAAAACTATTTAATGTGAAATATGAAAGTCCACGCAAAAAGCATAAAAAATTATGTCCAAATGTTAATCATTTTCAAAAGTAAGTGAGACTCCAAGTTCATAGTTCAAGAAAAGTTCTTTCAAAAAGAATATAAATATTGATTATTAAAGCCCTAAAAAAAATCACAAAAAATTCCATTTCCTTTAACCATGGCAACTTTGAGTATTGAGATCAAGCCAATTATAAACAGATTTTTTTTAATCTCATAATTTAGTCTACCTGTGTACCAAGTCTTCTTGAGATCTGACCAAAATGAAAAATTAATATTGAAAAATGTTTATGCAGCGACAGTCAGACAGATGGACAGAGAATGAAAACCTTACTAATGCATTGAGATCTGCAAGTAGAGGAAAGAAAGAGGTCAAGGTCATAATACCTGTTCTTTATCTTCAATTCATCTGACAGCAGATTTGTCGCTATCCCTTATTATGGAGCAGGGGTCAAGGTTATAAACATACCTGTTCTTTGTCCTCAATGTATCTGACGGCAATATCATAGCTATCCTTAATGATGGCGCCAACATTGTAGTGACCCCTTCTGTCAAAGTGCTTCTCTTTCTTCTGCAACATTATTGCTAAAGCAACTGACACAGCAACCGCAGAGGCCTGGCATCTATAAAGAATGATATCAATTTTTTGGGTATTTATTGATTTTGTTGATCCTAGCAGAGGTCTGGTATCTTTAAAGATTTCTTATTTATTTTGTTAATCTTGTTATGAGTTTTTATACCCCCCGCTTGAAAAGCGGGAGGGTATATAGTAATCGTTAATTCCGTCCGTCTGTCCGTCCGTCCGTCCGTCTGTTACGCTTTAGGGTACCTATCTCTTATCCGCAACTCCTCTTATACCACTGAGTGAAATTTAATGAAACTTTCACAGAATCTTTATTACATATTGCCATTGTGCACCTCCTATTTTACTTTTTGATCTGACACATATTTTGTGTTTCCCGGCCATGGCAAATCATTGACTTTGTCATCAGTTATAACCATATGGGAGGTGGGGGGTATCATTTAGTGAGCTCATTGCTCACAGTACCTCTAGTTTTTAAATATTCATCAGTTGAGCTTAGTATATATGAACATTGAATATTCATGCAAATATGTCAAAGTGGAAGTCCCAACCACTACCTTAACATCAGATTCTCAATTCATTCACAGCCTTTTCTAAGGATTGGAACTAGTTGGATGTTTCAGTTTTTTTTTATCATTTGTATTTTTTGTATAATTATTGTTTTTATTGATCCCTTTATACTGTGAGCTTTAACTAGCTAATGACATACTTATACAGCTCTTTAAGAATTAAATGTGCTGTGTGGCAACGCACTTTGAAAAAATTACGCACTTTGAAAAAAAAATTTCAAAGTGCGTTAAAATTGGGACAATATCAACGCACTTTGAAAAATTTTTTCAAAGTGCGTTAAGATTCTACATCAATATATTTTACCATGGAGACACTTTACGCACTTTGAAAAAAAAATCATATTTTAGTCATGGAAAGATTTTTTTTGTTATTTTACTTAAACTTATCTTTCAAAAAACTAAGCCTAACTCTAACCTCAAAAATGAATTGATTTACTCCATTGAAAAAAGGAGAAGACGGGTATAAGATCCCCCAGTCCAAATCTTATCTTTCCAGTACATAGGTGTAGGTAACAAACGGGGGAGGGGAGCAATAAACCTATAAAGGGTACGCTGCATTGTCAATGCTTATGTAATGTATATATATCTTTCCAAATTAAGTGGGGGACTTAGACCTGCCCCCCTCCCCTGGCCATTTGCCCAGTCTACATGTCTATGCTTTACTCAAAGCATTCATATAATTAATATGTATTTACCTAACTGTTATGACATTGAAAACTTTCAAAAATAAATGAGTTAATTAAAACAGATGAAAACAAGAAATTTTTAAGTACAGTAAAACGTATGAGAGAGAAAGAATTTTCATAGTTTTGAACAATCAAATTGGCCCCTTTTTATTATGATAAATGCTAAGTTGCTTGAAGCTGTCCTCTGTTAGTGCCCCCTATACATTGTACACCTTTACATCTACTAATCAAAGACTAGAATTAAAAAAAAGAAGAAACGAATTGATGAACTTAAACAATCGTCAATTTTCCCTTTTATTTTATCAAAACCTTAAATATTTAAAACATCAATATCTCAGGTCCTACTGTGACTTTATCATAAAAAAGTTATCAAACCAGAATCCAGTTTTTATCATACCGATTATTTGAAGGAATATTGATCAATCCTTACAATTTTTTTTCAAAGTGCGTTAATATGGTCCCAAATTTTAACGCACTTTGAAAATTTTTTTTCAAAGTGCGCAATTTTTCAAAGTGCTTTGTAACAGTGCTGTAATAGATTTGAACTCGGTGAAGCATACACTAAGAGAGTGCAACATAACATATTTTGTCCTCTATTTGTTTGTAAAGAAAAATACAACGAAAAGTTGTTTCATTAAAAATGAACCATGATAAAATATACAAGAGAATTGCTATCTTTCTAATTGTAACTAGTATTGGTTATTTATATAATTATATAATCATATTTGTAACTTTGATACCTTGCTTAATATGAAATTTTTAATAAGCATTTTGTGCTAGCAATTCTACAAAACCACTCTGACTTCTACATATTTTTTATATGCAAGCAATTGACCATTTACTCAGTAAAGAGTCTTCAGCACTTGTAAGTTAAAACATTTCTGCTGTGTTAGGAAACAGTTTAACTGTTGTTTTACATTTCTAAGCACCTGCAACAATTCAGCTTGACCACAAACTAACCTTAGGTCACAGTTAGAGATTCTTATTTCTGACACAAGTAAGCTTAACCTCAAACTGATCTTAGGTCAGTCAGATATAGCTTGACCTCAAACTGACCTTATGCCATAGTCAATTATTCTAAACCCCTGGCACAACTTACATGTAGCTTGACCTCAAACTGACCTTGGGTCATATTGAGTTATTCTAAGCTCTGATAAAACTTCAACTGGTCTTGGATCATAATGAATTTTTCTAAGCTCTTCTACAACATAGCTTGACCTCAAACTGACCTTGGGTCATAGTGACTTATTCTAAACTCTTCTACAACTTACAATGTAGCTTGACCTCAAACTGACCTTGGGTCACAGTTAGTTATTCTAAGCTCTGACAAAATTTACCTTGACCTCTAACTGACCTTGGGTCAAAGTGAGTGATTCTGGCCACATCTGCTGCGTTCCTGGCCACCTGTTCTAGGTCATGAAACCTGTGGACCCCCAGGATACTGGTCCTCATCACAGCTCCATTAGGGGCCACCTTACACTGGCTCTCCCTCCATACACTCTCCGCCGCCTACAACAGAAGGATAGACCCTGATCATGTCTTAATCATCATTATAACCATGCTGTCATTATCACGTCCTTAGCATGTGAGTATGTCTTAATCTGACATGTGATCATGTCCTATTTATGTAATCATGATACCATGCTGTCCTTGTTATGTGATCATGTCCCTCTCAAGTGATGTTCCTATCATGTACTCATGTTCCTATCATGTGATCCTATCATGTGATCATGTAGGGGTGCAATGATACGCCTACCACACGATATGATACGTATCACAGTATTCAGTTCACGGTACGATATGTATCACGATACAGACATTTGTCATCATATACTTCAAACTCAAATGTTTTATCAAATGCTCATAACACTAACCCTAGGAAAGTGATTACATCCTTCGACCCGTTAAATATCGGACAGGAAACAAGTTTATTTGCCGCTTCTGCAGTTTCATTGAGCCCATGTTTTGTGCGGAAGCCATTTTGAAATTGTAAATGATAAACCAACCAGAAGTCTCTGTTGAGACTGTAGCTCTACTGGTTTGTACTTATATCAAAGGATGAGAAAAAAAGCCAAATACCATCAGACCAAAACTGTAGGATGACTAGCGTTTTTAAGGAATTTCAAAGAAAATTCAATTTTGAGTAACCATTGCAACATCGTACATCGAAATTAAAATCCAATGCACTATTTTATGTATTTTAGTGTAGTCGACTTGTGTGCAAAGTAATATTGAAATCAAATCAAAACTGTAAGAGGAGTAGCTTTTTCAAGAAATTTCAAAGAAAATTCTATTTTTTAGTAACCATGGCAACACCGTTCATCAAAATACACAAATGCACTATTTTATGTATCTTAGTGTACTATACTTGTGTGCCAAGTAAATATTGAAATAAAATCAAAACTGTAGGAGGAGTAGAGTTTTAAAGGAATTTCAAAGAAAATTCTATTTTTAGTAACCATGGCAACACCGTTCACCTAAATCAAAAACCAATGCACTTTTTCATGTATCTTAGTGTAGTCTACTTGTGTGCCAAGTGATATTGAAATCAGACCAAAACTGTAGGAGGAGTAGCGTTTTAAAGGAATTTCAAAGAATAATTTATTTTGAGTAACCATGGCAACACCGTTTACCGAAATCAAAAATCAATGCACTATTTTATGTATCTTTGTGTAGTCTACTTGTGTTCAAAGTAATATTGAAATCAAATCAAAACTGTAGGAGGAGTAGCCTTTTAAAGGAATTTCAAAGAAAATTCTATTTTTAGTTACCAAGGCAACACGTTCACCGAAATCAAAAACCGATGCACTTTTTCATGGATCTTAGTGTAGTCTACTTGTGTGCCAAGTGATATTGAAATCAGACCAAAACTGTAGGAGGAGTAGCGTTTTTAAAGGAATTTCAAAGAAAATTCTATTTTTAGTAACCATGGCAACACCGTTCACCAAAAAAAAAAACAATGCACTAATTTATGTATCTTAGTGTAGTCTACTTGTGTGCAAAGTAATATTGAAATCAAATCAAAACTGTAGGAGGAGTAGCGTTTTTAAGGAATTTCAAAGAATAATTTATTTTGAGTAACCATGGCAACACCGTTCATCGAAATCAAAAACCGATGCACTATTTTATGTATCTTAGTGTAGTCTACTTGTGTGCCGAGTAATATTGAAATCAAATCAAAACTGTAGGAGGAGTAGCGTTTTAAAGGAATATCAAGAAAATTCTATTTTTAGTTACCATGGCAACACCGTTAATTAAAATAAAAAAAAGATGCACTAAATTCTGTATCTTATCTTATCGGACCAAAACTGTAGGAGGAGTAGCGTTTTAATGGAATTTCACAGAAATTTCTTTTTTTAGTAATCATGACAACACCGTTCACCAAAAAAAAAAAACCAATGCACTATTTTATGTATCTTAGTGTAGTCTACTTGTGTGCCAAGTTATATTGAAATCTGATCAAAACTGTAGGAGGAGTAGCGTTTTAAAGGAATTTCACAGAAAATTCTATTTTTAGTAACCATGGCAACACCGTTCATCGAAATAAACAAGAGGCCCAAGGGCCTTGAATCGCTCTTCTGATAAATTGTACAACCTATCACTTGTAATTGAAGCCTCTAACCCTAGGTATCCTGAGACCAAAGTTGCACCACCTGACAAAGTTTGATGATTCTTAGCCAAAAACGACTACTTCTTGGTCTACATTCTTGGAAAACCCCAAATGCATCAACTTACACAGTTTGATTATTCTAAGCCATTAATACCTAAGATACTTAAAAATAGCCATAAAAAGTTGAAAGTAGGTCACTGTAACCTACTTTTTGGTTGACATTCTCCGAAAACCCAAGATGCATCAAATGACAAAGTTTGATGATTCTAAGCCAATAAGTACCAGAGATACTTAAATATAGCCATAAAATGTTGAAAGTAGGTCACCATGACCTACATTTTAGTCTACATTTTTCAGAGTCCAAAGTTGCATCTGCTGACTAAGTTTGATGATTCTAAGCCGATAAATACGTAAGATACTTAAATATAGACATAAAATGTCGAAAGTAGGTCACTGTGACCTAATTTCTGGTCGCCACTCTCTGAAAACCCAAGATGCATCAACTGACAAAGTTTGATGATTCTAAGCCAATAAGTACCGGAGATACTTAAATATAGCCATAAAATGTCAAAAATAGGTCACTGTGACCTAATTTTTGGTCATCACTCTCCGAAAACCCGAGATGCATCAACTGACAAAGTTTGATGATTCTAAGCCAATTTGTAAAGGAAATATTTAAATATAGATATAAATGTCAAAATTAGGTCATCATGATCACCATGTTCTACGAAAACCCAAGATGCATCAAGTCACAAAATTTGATGATTCTAAGCCAATAAATACCGGAGATACTTAAATATAGCCATAAAATATCGAAATTAGGTCACCGTGACCTAAATTTTGGTCAACATTTTTCAGAGTCCCAAGATGCATCTCCTGACCAAGTTTGATGATTGTAGGTCTGAAGGTAATCAAAAAATGGCAATGCCTTTTAAACAATTTGAAAACATATGCCTGCAAAATTCTAAAAGTAGGTCACAGTGACCTACTTTTTCTTAAATATGTTTAAGGTCCCAATATGCAGCAACTTACAAGATTTGATGATTCTAACCCTTTCAGTGCCTGAAATAATGAGATTTAATGTTTTAAAAAGGTTAAGTCATAAGTTCAAAAAGTAGGTCACGGTGACCTACTTTTAGGTTGACGTTGTTTAAGGACCCAAGATGCATCAACTGACTAAGTTTCATGATCATAGGCCTAAAAGTGTCCAAAATATGCCTTCAAATCAATTTGAAAACAAATGCCCGCAAAATTTAAAAAGTAGGTCACCGTGATCTACTTTTGAGTTAACATGATGTGAAGTCTTAAGATGCATCAACTTACAAGATTTGATGATCCTAGCCCGTATAGTAAGCAAAATATAAACATTTTTATTAATTGTTAATTTAGGTCAACTTCAAAGTGACCTTGAGGCCACGCCCTTTGCCCCAGGGTCATGCCTTGAACAATTTTTAATCTTCAACATATCCTGATCCTTGTATGTAAGTTTGGTGAAAATCTGCCTGGCGGTTCTGGAGAAGAAGATTTTTTAGCAACTAGTACTTTTGGTTTTGTTTTCCTGATTATCTCCCCTTGTTTTAGGGTCCCAACCCTTATTTTAGAATAAATGGTAGCCCTTGGGCCAAGGATACCCTTTGGCAAATTTGGTACTGATTGGCCAAGGGGTTCTTGAGCTATGGCCCATATTCTAATAAAGTGCCGCGCCACAGCATGATACGCCCGTCAAAAAATTACAATTTTCTTGAACAGTTTAGGTGGAAGAAAATCACATCAATCTTGATTCTAAGATTTTTTCATTCCTTAAAATATTTATCCATCCCCTGTGATCTAGGCATCAATTCTAATAAATATTACATCACTGATAGATTTCTGTGCTGGTTGTGTTAGACCTTGTCAAATGCCCATCATCAAATTAGTCTTAACAACTTAATCTATTCCAAATTATTAATTTTGAAAAAAAAAAGGCTGGCCATCAAATGACATATGTTATAAACTGACCAGCAGTTCTTCTGTCTAATCCCCAAAGGGCTGCTTAATCACTAATCAGAGCGACTGAGACAGCAAGCCTTCCTTCATTGAACTCATTAATTAATCTTTAACTGGATGCTTGTCTACTCATTACTACCAAGAGATGAATGGGTCTGCACTATCTACTATAATTTTTTTTCAAAAACATATAAAATACTCTCAGATTTTTTTTTTGGTTGAGATTTAATGTCCGACAGGTTTTAGTATGTAATTCATATGGACATGCTGATTCAACCCACCCCTTAAAATTAGTTTTTAAATTAATAATATTACATAATATCAGATTAGTCTATTATGCAATATCAAATTAGTTTTAATTACTTTTCATCAAATTCATTTCAAAACTTAAGCTAGTCAACAAGAGCTATTTTTAATCAAACAGGCTTACCCATTTGCCCAATTCTCAAGGGATATAGATAACACCAATGCTCTGTCAGTTAATTGCTGCACTCAAAACCCATTAATTTCTCTCTAATTTGACATGCAATTTTCTGTTATCAAAATTCTTCTTGACCAGTGCCTGATAATTATACTCATGGGAGACATGGGATTTCTCTAACATACATTATATTTGTTTTAGATTGCTGTCAAGTATATGCTTAAAAAAATAAGTATTTTCTTGATTTAACACTTTTTTTATAAGAACAGTGCAATACTTTTACATTATTTGGGATGTGTAAATGAAGAGTAAAAAAATACATTTTTTAAAAAAAATTCACTTAAATTAAAGGTCACAGTGACCTTGAAATAGGTCGCGACACACCTTCTACCTAAGACGCATAAACTGGCCAAGTTTGATGATTGTAGGTCTTATGGTTTTCTAGTTATGGGCCGGAAAGGATTTTTCCATATTTGGCTCTAACTTCTTAATTAAAGGTCAGAGCGACCTACTTTTTGTGCGCGACACACCTTCTACCCAAGATGCATCAGATGACAAAGTTTGATAATCCTAGGCCTACAGTGCAGGGAAATAATTTTGTTACAGCATCAATGCTGATTTTGGTGCTTCCTATGCTTGCTGATTTTGATGCTTCCTTTGCTTGCTGATTTTGATGCTAGTTATCCTTATCCTGATCCTGGTTTAATCCTTATCCTGATGCTGGTTTGAAACTAGGTCAATGCTAGTAATGCTACCGGAAGTAGGATTATCCTGCCGGAAGTGGATAATTCAAAAACAGCATCGCTATTTTAAGCCATTAAAAATAATTTTTGGGGTAATTTTTATTTGTAATTTGTATTAAATGACTTTCCTTTATCTGTTTTCACTTTGGTCAATGCTAGTTCTATCCTTTCCTTGCTGATGCTGATCCAGGTAATGCTGGTTTTTTAAAAGCTGATGCTGATGCTAGTTCTATCCTGATCCTACTTATGCTGATCCTGATGCTGGTTTATGTAACAAAATTAGTTCCCTGCACTGTAGTAGTATTAAAGTTATGAGCCGGAAACGAAAAAGCTAACAGACAGACGGACAGACGGACAGACGGACGGACACGAAGCCTATAACATAATACGTCCCGTCTTAAGACGGGCGTATAAAAAGTTAACGCACACCACACGACGCACACCGCACAAATGGCCATAGCATTAGCTCTTTGAGCCTTTGGCTCAGAAGAGCTAAAAACCAATGCAATATTTTATGTATCTTAGTGTAGTCTACTTGTGTGCCAAGTAATATTGAAATCAGACCAAAACTGTAGGAGGAGTAGTAGTGTTTTAAAGGAATTTCAAAGAAAATTCTATTTTTAGTAACCATGGCAACACCGTTCACCGAAATCAAAAACCGATGCACTATTTTATGTATCTTAGTGTAGTCTACTTGTGTGCCAAGTTATATTGAAATCAGACCAAAACTGTAGGAGGAGTAGCGTTTTGAAAAATTGTTTACAGACAGGGGACAGACAGACGGACGGACGGACGACGGACACCTTACTATCGCATAAGCTCTTCTGGTCTCTGACCAGTAGAGCTAAAAAGGATGATCCGGATAATTATTGAACTGAACCGTAATATCAGTTTCTAGTATCGTGAACAGAACTGTTGAAAAAAATGAACAGTGGTATACCATCAAACGGTTTATTGTTGCACTCTTATGATTATGTGACTATCATTTTCTATTCATATCATCATGTTCTAATCATGTGATCACATTCTTATCATGTGACCATGTCTTTATCATGATACAATCTTGTCCTAATGCTAATCATGTGACTTTGTTCTGATCATATTATCATGTTTCCATTTTGTCCTCATGCTACATGTGATAAGTATATGTTCTAATCATGTGATCATGTTCTAATCATGTGATCAGAAAGGGACTCAAACTAATGAAATCTGTTGAACTTCCACATGTTAGGAAGATGAATTTTTGAAGATTTAATAAACATTTTGTTAGACATGTACATGTATTGCCAATTTAGTCCTATTTGAATTGCAGTTTTGGTAAAGTGATAGCTGAAATAGTTATCTTACAAAGTTTTAGTCTGCTAGATGTCCAGGAGTACAAAAGATTTTTTTTTTGAAATAGCAGTTTTGAAGTACAAGATGAAATATACAAACTGTGTAAGGATCATCTAGGTAACTTTTGTGGTGTAGAACACGGTCGGTTGTTTTTCCAATTCCCATTCCAACAAAATCCCCCAACTCAGGAAATCCCTTCTTCATCCAGTCCAGAAATCGGTGGGCAATGTCTTTATGATTCACCTAAACACAAAGTGGTCAAACAAACATGATGTTTTGAACATTACTCCTCAAGATTTAAATATGGTCAAGATAATCAACAGCAATCAAATGCAAAAATTCAATGGAACAATATCTCACACAATTGCCCAAGTGACCTTGACCTATAAAATATGTGACCTTAACTCAAAACCATGATTTCGAGATAATAAACAGCAATCAAAGGCAAAAATTAAATGGAAGAATATAAATTTTGAGCAGAGTATACCTGTACACAAAATTTATTGTTGCAGATTGATTTCAAAATGACTATTTGGGTAATAAAAAAATTAGAAAAAATAATAATTGGTTTAAAACTTATGTCAGTATCTCACATAAATTCCCAAGTGACCTTGACCTGTAAAATATGTGATCTTAACTCAATACCATGATTTCGAGAAAAAAGATAAGATATTTAGAGGTAAAATGTACTAGATGAGTGTCATTTAGATATTAATTTAATATCATGACCTTGGCATAAAAGATAACATGTATCTTTAAGAAAAAATATTAAGTGAGTGACAGTTAAATATTAATTTCATTGCATAAAAAACATGCAATTTGGTGAGTTATACTACTAGAATACATCATTTATCGCAGCACAAATGAAAAAGCTTGCTTTCTTCCTATCAATCTGTTTTGAAACTGTTAGCTTTACATACCATTCCATTGTTGTCTGTGAGGGACATCATTATTATAATCATCTGATCGGAGTCATCTGACCAGTCGCCCTCCTTCCAGCGACTCTGATGGGGGTTGTCCACCAGGGACTTGTGTTTATACTCCAAATTGTCCTTCAATTTCCCAAAATACTGAACCAGAACAAAAATATATACCAACAAATATACATGTATTACAGTTCTAGGTCCTTTCAGTTTTTAAAGATTTTAGTGGAATACTATAGAAATACTTTTTTTCTGCGGGATATTACTTAACGCTATGTACGCGGTCACAAATTTGGCAAAATTGGAAATTTGGCCTAGCGTACTTAATATTAATGTAAAGCATATAGTGACAGTTTAAGAATCAGTTTATAATTTTCTACCCGCAGATTAAACAGAAATTGTCATTCGGCAGAATTATGACCTTGCGAAAAAAGTATTTCTACAGTACTGTACTTGATTTTAAAAATTTATCTAATACTGTTTTACATGTAATTTGATTTAAACATGTTTATTTTCAATGCTTTCTATTTCCACTGTGAAAAAATTAAAGTTCTTAGTGCACTGTTTTGTGATGTCAATGAAGAGTAAACCCTAACAAGCATGAATTCAAAATTAAATACTGTTTTTTTGTGAACTTAACATGCATCAGAACTTGACAATAAAGTTTATATTGATATTAAATTTCAATTTATATATAACATTTCAGGCAGTTCTGTTATTGACAAATGTAGAAGGTCCATCTAGAAATACAAATTGATTTCATGGCTTTCATTCTCATCATACGTCTACTTAAGCTCTTCTACACAGAGTGAAAATAATGTCGACGAAATTTTTACCTCGTGAAACTAAGACCTTGCTTTAGTGTACAACATAATAAAAGGGTTTTTTTTGTAAAGGTTACAACGTAAAAGGCATCCCATCATATAAAACGATCACCGTAATAGCGAGATTTGGGTTCCACTGCACTCATTAACCATGTTTACCAGTCAGGGGTGGTACTGAAATCAGTCATTTTTGAAAATGATAATTTTCAGTCATTAAATTGATTTTTAATAATGATGGAAATTCATCATTTTTTAGTAAAATGATGAAAAACAGTCATTTCTATTTTGAAATTTATTTTACTAGAAATAGAGTTATCTCTGATATTAAAAATGACTGTTTTTCATCATTTTTTATCAAATTGTTAGGTCTGGGCGCACTTAATTATCTCATTAGTTTTACGGGGCGCACTAAATTATTTTGGTTTCAATTACTTTTCAAGATGTTTCTCTACACAAGGTTCTATGGCAGGATAGTGTACTATATCTAATTACTGTAGTAAATGGGATGGGAAAATTGACTTGAGAATGGAAATATGATGAAAAGACGTCATATTTACAAAAATCAGAAAATTGTGTACATTATATACTTAGAAGAAATGACCATTATCCATCATTTTCAAAAATGAATGATTTCAGTACCACCCCTGACTGTTTACAGGAATGACAAATACACTTAAAATTTCTAAACTGGAATGTGATCGACATATTTTATATTCTCTGCACTATTATCATGGTTGCATTGCCGCAGTCAGACAATCAGACAGACCTCCAATTTAAAGATTTCCAGTGATGAAAATTGAAAGTTTTAGAAGAATTACCGTGGTAATTATAAATAAAGAGAGAGGACTCATGAAGAGTTGTAAAATAGAAGATTTAATAATGTGCTTGTAAGTTGTTTTCCACAAAAAGACTAAAGGCTTAATAAAATACACAGCCAATTAATGCAATAACTTTAAAGTTTTCTGTGTTCATGGGCTAAGTGCTTGTGGCCTTCTTATGTAGCCTTTTGTTTGGTCAAGTATTTCATCAGAAACCAAAAGCATACCCCACAAATTGTTCATAAAACATATAACATAGGGCCTACTTCTTTTGCCTCATCTTTGGTTAAGAACTCTGTCAGAAGTCCAAGAGCGTCCCCAACACACTGTCCATATAACACAGCCCTGATATGACTTTGTAACTCAGGGCCAAGTATCTGTAAATATAGTATATACATTGTTAGCATATATATGTAGCATCACTCTCACATTGTAGACATATAACACAGCTCTGAAACGACTCTGTATGTCAGGGCCAAGAATCTGTAAATATACATAGAAAGCATATAGCATTATTCACACATTGTAAACATACAACACAGCTCTGATACACCTCTGTACATGTATGTCATCAGAGCAAGAATCAGTAAACATATGTACATGATGTACATTGCAAAACATAATTATTTTATTTTCCTTTTCATCATGTTCATAATTTATATTAAATCATTTAATTTGATTCTAGTGATTTAAATCCACCAGTAGATTGACATGGTTACAGCCTCGAGAGAGAAAAAACATACATTTGATTCAACATCTATCATGATCTAGTGATATCGTATCTGATGAAGAGCATGTATTAGTGTGTATATCTTATGTTTTAAAACTTTATCACTTACATTCAAAGTCGCCATGTCCACAAAAGTATCAGGATATATCAATGTTTAATCCACATAGGTTAAATATTAAATCAATATACCCCGGTAATCAACTGCCTAAAATTAAAAAAATAATCATAAACTAGAGCCGAGCTCGTTGCAAAGCAACGAGTAGGTCTTCCGTTGGAGCTGTGGACAGGAAGTACAGATCTTGGGTCAAGGTCACTGCACTTTCTTATGTCAACAACCTTTCTTCCCAGCATGAGCCTTCAGTAAATTTTAATTATAAAGTAATGCTTAAACACTTTTTTCTTTGTCAGTGACCTTGATTTGCCAGAAAGACATTTGATCAGGGTCATGACAAAACCCCCAATCATTATAAAGTAATCTATGTTTCAAGTATGAGCCTCCAATGATTTTCATTTACTAATTCATAGCGTAGTAAAGAAAATATTTCTTCTGTCAGTGACCTTGATCTTAACAGAATAACCTTGGCTCTGTGTCAAGACAAACACCTTTTAGTGATTAGAAGTTCATAACCCTGACAGGAATTTTACAACTTTTCTGTCATTGGCCGATGAAGATGTTTGAAATTTGCATTATCTCGCACCATTTTGTCACAGGTCAGAAAAACAACACTGAGGTATTTTAAAACATCACCGTATATTAATATTCAAACAACATGGATTTTCTATTTATAAAAGATATCGGGGTTGAAAGTCCTTTCCATACTACGTATTTAAGGGTAATAGCTTTACTTTCAATAAAATTAAACCCAAAACTCCACAAATAAAATATCTTTCCTCATTTATTTCAAAGTTTGGGTAAAGGGGGTGAGGAGCATGGGGATGTCATGATGTATACGTAATATACTGAAAGGAAAAAGAAACGCATACGAACATAATATGGGAATAATTTTTGTCTATGTGGCCGAAAAATATGAAAATTGGTCAGATGAGTATTTTGGTTACTATGCACTAAAATTACTAGTCAAAACTACTCAACCATGAAATGCATGGCGTCACGTAGGGGAAATGATAAAAAGTCAAAACAAGTGCATGTTGATGATGATAATTTTGTGATAAACTTTTGTAATGCCATACGATGCATTTGAGTTGTAGAAATCGTTTTTGCATATTTGCTGTCAGTATTAATTTCTTGCAATCGTGGTATGGCTGACGGAATTTATTGTGGGTTTAGTAATTGAATTCAATATTGCATTAGTGAATAAAAAAACAAAAACATGCTGCTGTACAGATTGTTTTCAACTTTTCAACCAAATAAAAGTTGTCAGAGAGTTAATTTAAAATGTTTCCAGCCAACCATGACGGCAACGTTGGCGCGTAAAAACGTCACAACAAGATAGGGCTTTTCATTATGCCACCTCGGTTATTGTCAAGGCATTATCACCGCAACTGATATTTATACAGCAGACAATCATATTCATTTTTTCATCCTAATTTGACAGAAACTCTCTGCTTTAATTTTGGCCGCGAGCTTGGCCCCTTTACGTCGATTTTACTCTCAAACGCGCACGTACGCGTTGTTTGCGTGATTGTTTTTAGCATGTTTACACTTGAAAAATTTAGTTAGCGTTTGTCGAAACTTTTTTACAAACATCCACGTTTACCAAACCAGCTGGATTCTGTAAATTCTATCCTAAATCGAAAATTCGCATTCGATTGGGCGAGGGGATTTGTTAGCTTTGGAATAATACAGCTAATCTCAGCCATTAAGACTACCGTCGGAAGGGTTGAATAATAATGTTCTGAAAAAGATAACTGCTCTGATGAACTCAATGCACATGAAAATCAAGTGTGTTACTGATGCGAAAGGGAGATGCGTTTCTTAATCCTTTCAGTATATATTCGAGGTTATTATTCTGTTAGACAGGAAGACCCGAGGAGTTGTGATTTGCTGATCATGATCTAAAACACGTTGACAAACCGAAACCACGTGGTTTTATACACGTTATTCAATCAATTCATTCATAATTATTTTCCTTGAAGGAGGAATGCATGGATAAAGGATTAAAGAAAATTCCCGATGTACATTAGCATCCGTGCATGGACTTCATTTTAGTACTACATAATAATATTGTGCTTGAAGTTGAATAAAATCATGAAATAAATTAAATTTAAATAGGAAAGGGAGATTATGTTTAATAGAATAAAAATTAGACAATACTTGATACAGGGACTCGCTGGTAAAAACTTGAATGTACTTGAATAAAATGCCTCTCACTCGTTTTCTCTCGTACGCGTATTTTTTAAACCAAGGAAATTAATTTGCGCTAGATATAAGTTCATCATTTTAAAGAAAATACTGAGTTATATAAGGTAAACGATACAAATGGTTTGACTTTGGTGCCGGTTATGATTTTAACAGTTTAATTTAGGTTGTAAAAGCGTTTAATTACATGATAAGTCTGTAATATTCAGATAACATTGTTACCTCGGTATATAAATTCTTAAATTTTCGATTCTGGACATATGCGGGTTTATTACTACTTGAATGTACATTGTATAACCTGCTACTGATATTTAATCACGGAACAAAATTACAATGTTAGCACACTCTACTTATCATTTATACGGGTTTTGAATAAATTATAAAACAAATTAAGTTCATTGCTTTAAAATCATTATTTCTTGAACTTTACTATAAAACCTGTAATATAAATTAATAGACAGTGTGCAGCACAGAAGTCACTTATGAAGTTTACACGTGCCGGTGTTACTTATCGATGTTTAGTCCATTTCATTGAGCATAATTCTATCTTTACGATTCGGAAGATTCTCTTTAAAAGTTTAAAATTGGTATAGCCATGGTTAATATCTGTGATAAAAAAATGTGTTTCGGAAAACTTGTGTTGAAAACGGATTTATTTGTGTGTGAAAAGAGCAAAGCTTGTGCATTTTAATAAATATTGGTTGAAGTAAAGTAACTGCAGATCGCCAGTCCTTGCGCTATGAATCGTCAAATTACACATGGATCTAACGAATATTTAAGAATTGAAGACTGATTAATGTACATGTAAAATAAATGCCCCAGCGTTTTGTACTAAAGTCAAACTTAAAACATTTTAAGATTTTTTTGAAAGATTTAATTTACTCAGAGAAAATAATATTTTCTTACTGTTGTAGAATGGTTTGTATATACCAATTATTTGCTTATGACTGCGGGGTCAATGGTTCACCGCGGTGTGTCGCTTTAGAATTTCTCGGCAGCGTGTAATCGAAAGATAGATTACGTAATGGTAAACACTTTAAAAAAAGAATCTTGGTTCCAGGTGAATATGAGAATCGCGCAGTAAATAATTGTGTATTATTTGACTCTTAAAAATTTTTTGTATGAAATCCGGGCGTATATTGTTTCCGTTCATATTGTTTATATTCATATTTAAACGAATAAAAGATACTCGTACGTACTTTTTTTCTATAACTCTTTCTCTTGGAAAGATCTTTATTAATAAAAGGAAAAAGATACCATCGAATACTCTAAACAGGAAACAAAGAACACGTTTAAAACCTAATTTAAAAAAGAGATATGATACAGCGCGGTAAAATATTTATTTCTTACGGCAAGTTTATTTCAATTATACGCATAAAGAGTTCTTCAATATCAAAATGAGAACGGAGCTTTGTTTACGGTGAATACGGATCTAGCTTTCTTTCCTACCATACGTAAGACTCGAACAAAATAATATTTTCATGGGACAGAGATAGTATAAGAAGGAACAATTTTATCAAGAATTAATTTAACCATTCTGTGGTGGGTTTTTTGTGTATGACTGTGGGTCGCTGGATCACACACCGATTGATTCCCGGTGACCGACTTTGCCCTGCCGCTATCAAGGGAGGCGCGTTATATAATTGTAAACAAACGAGGTAAATGTTAAAGCCATGCACTTAATGGCTGTGAATAGTATATGTGCTTTTTATTTATGTTTTATTTTCTCACTATATTGTTTGCTTTTATGTGATAAGAAGAAAAGATGATATTTTCTTTCCTTTTTAGTAGACTTGGTTTATACGATTTTTAAAAAAATGAAATAAAAGGGAAAGTTGTCAGTGAATAAACATGATATTTTGTAAGAAAAAAAGCACTAACACTTCGAGAACTTTATTCTGAAGAATATTAGCTTCCAATGTAGCCATGTTTATTATTCATAGTAAGCTTGCTTTGGTTACACGCATGAGGAGCTCTCGTTTACGTGCTGAGTGAAAATAATTACCTGTGCATATATAGGTCATGCACCAGCTCATTTAAAACAAGACTCGAACACAATTACAATTTCATGATATCAGTAAGATGTTAAAGCACCTTTAATTTATAATCGATAGTTATTTCAAAATATTTACCGTTTTTGAGTTATAAAGCAAAAAGTTTCAAGGTCCCTTGATCCCTAATTATAGGGGCCAGCCCCTTTTGAATATTATTATATGAAAGCCCTTGCAATTATGCACAACTTTTGTTCATTATGTCTTAACAAAATATTTTTAGTTTTCAAAATAAAAAGGAAAACATGTGTAAATTTTCGCTCTTTTAGGCGTTCTAATTTTTTACCCCTATATAGCGCCATTGTGAATACAGAAATTGAAAAACAAAAACCGATGTGCACAACTTCAATCCTTCTGTTACCTAAAATCAGTAAAAATTCTGCTTCAGCTTTTTTGGTCTCTGAGCCTTTATCCGGAAACGAAAGCCTATAAATTTTCGTTTAAAGGGAAATAACTCAAAACCGGAAGTGTTTTTTTTGAAATTTTAGTCAGCATTCTGGTAGAGTTTATAAACGTCTATAACCTCTGCAAATTTGAGCGAAATCCGTTGAGAAATGAGTGAGATATGAGGCCTCAAAGTTGCGGTCTAGGAAGTAGAAGAAAAAAAAGAATAATAATCTTTACCATCAGAATCAGTAGAAGGTCTTCCGTTGGAAACGGAAGACCTTAATTATTATGAACGTGCAGATGATGGCTCTCAATTTTTTGACTTTCGATCCCGACATATTTTTTCCTGAATGGTGGTAAATGTAGAAGCATGGGAGAACCGAGTTTCGAAATAATTACAAGATGTGAAGAAAAATCTTAAATATATGGAAAATATAGAAAATGAGAGTGAAAAGCAGGTAAAA